CACATACACACACATACACATACACACATACATGTATATATATAGGGAAGCGGAGATGCACATGAACATAATCGTTTGCTCAAGCGTCAAGCTATGCTAATATTTTTATTCGTTTTTGGCTACAAAAGCCGTAAAATTTATTTCAGGTGGTGTTGTAAAATGTGGTGACAATGTGGCGATGATTTATACACATATATTACTTCCGATATCATAAAGTTTAAGATTCAAACAACGATAATATTAGCAATGATAAATTCTCTTCTATTTCCGTCTTTATGGACTTAATTTATTTTCCTCTGTTTCGAATTCACTATATCTCATGGAAATTTAACTTCAGAAAGAAGAGCTAGAACGTATGGATTTTCAAAAAATATTTAAAACATTTGATAGTGGCATAAAACGATGTACCCTTAATATCGACAACAGTTATACATCAATACCGACCGCAAGGACAACACGATGCTTTTTAGAAGGGAAGCAGCATAAAGTCGCATTACAATGCCTTTATTTTCCATCCTTCTAATGCAAAACCTTCTTCAAATGCATTTATTCTAAAATGATTACATTTCTCATCGATGATTTTTTCCGCTTTTACCTTCCTGTAACGACAATTACACGGCTAAATAATTAACGAGTCACTTTAACAGTATTATTTTTCTGCGAATCTCAATTTACGACCAAATTGTTGGCCCAAAAAGAAAGAGAATGGAATGATAAAAGTACATCACTTCTTTAAATATATTATTTTCATTAAGCTACAGAAATATTTAGAATCCTATAGAGAGTAAAAAGAATGAGTAATAGGCAGTGGTAGTGGTAGTTAATACTATCTATTCATTTAAAACTTTTTTTTTGCAATTTCGTCAACTATTGATAGAGATAATGAAGAAACAAAATGAAGTATTTTAATTCTATTTGTGCTATACATTGTTCACTCATTCACCTCTTAATTTATTAAATTAGCAGTTTATAACAAAATTAGATCCTGTAAAATTTATCATGTGAATTGATTTAATCGATTTTACCAAAAAAAAATCTTTCAAAATTTCGAAGTGTTAAAGAGGTCGAAGGAAATGAAGAGGAATTAATTGTGATAAAGGATGTACAACAATTAACAAATGCATTGCTATTAATAAGGATTTGGCTTCCAACAAACTATGGAAAAAGTGTACACTCTTATCATTAAAATGGCAATGCTCAGTTGTAAAATGATAAGAATAGGGGGACACATCTCTTGCCTTCCTCATTCTCCTACCTTCTAACCACTAATAGATTTTAAGATAAGAAAGAAATCAAAGAAAATTGTTTTGAAATTTGAACGAATAAAAATTTCATTGGATAGGAAATTTTCGGAAAATTTAAGTTCCACGAGTAACGACACAACTTATCATTGTTTAAGAGTGCTTAATTTGAAAAAACCTGAAAAACTTTGTTTATATTTCTGGAAAACTAATGTAAGAGAGTGGAGCAAAGATGATGAAAAAATGGTTTATACAATAGTTCAATAGGAATGTGTTCCATACGTATCATCCAAAAATTCATGCTTATTTTAAAAGAGAGAGCAGGTTCATGGAACATTTTAAATGAAACAGCTTCCTCGTATCTCTATTGACAAGCTTCAATTTAAAATAATGTTATTTATTGAAATTGCCATTCTTTAGAGAACAAAAAGTTGTGTGGAGTATTCAATTCAAAACAGGATGTTCTTCCGTAATTTGAAATTTATTGAGTCAAAATCAAAACTAATTTAATGCACATATCCTTTAATATTTGTTATTTCTTCTAGCTTATTCCATCATAATTTGTCATTACTAATATTGTTCTAAGTATTGTCACTGACCACAATGAAAGCATTTGTTTGCAAAATTTCCGAGCAGATTGAGAAAACTTATTGACCAGCACATTTTATTTACGAATTATAATTGAAGTAACTGCCATAATGTTAATATATTTCTATTAATTTGTTCTGAGAAATACCAAATCAATAGACATTCACCTGAATGACAAAGGACTGCTCAATTTTCAATTCAGTCATTCTAGGAATATGATATAGGTCAAATAGCTTACACTTCTTTCTGCCATTAATTCCTATTCACATTTAATTCCCTAATTCGCGTATGAGTTCGAATCGTAACGTTTGCTAACTGCCACCGAACGATTTTGCAAATTAGCGTGAATAATGTCGAGAAGGGCTGATAATCTCTTTTATAATTCAACAGCTAATTAAAAGGAAAATTAGTTTCTTAATGCTTGGCACCATCAGAATCTCTCCGCACTATTCCTCCAATTGTTGTTCTTCTGAAACAGTTGATAACAGTGTTCTGTTAAATATACGTACATATGCAGATCGAGTCATGCTTCTTCAAATTACCTATTCTATCAACATAAAGATGAGTAATTTGAATTTGAAAACATATTATCTATTATTCAGAGATGAAATTTTGGGAACATCTTTAACGTACAGAAAATTTAGGGTCAATGGTGCAGTACTAGTAGGGTTGGGTAAAGATAAGTTTCATATATTTACAAATCACTCCTACACTTTGTCAATCTGTCTGATTGTGAAATTTTTACTGGAAGAAAAAGCCAGCTAAGCAATTTATATTGTAATATATCAGCTAACGATTTAAATTTGTTTTGTTTTCTTTAAACTTTAAATTTCAGTCATTAGAATGATATTCATAGTCAATCCATAGTAACTGAACCGTTTCCATTTTCATGATGACACTATCACAAGGGCAAAGGCCTTGATTCCCGAACCGAAATGAGATTGGGAGGCAGTTGGGGGTGGTTGTTTGATTGGTGTTTTTTGTTAATTCATACCTCGGTCGTCGGTGATTCATTCCTCTGTTTCATTATTTGTTTGAACAGGGAGAGGAGGAAAACAGTTTAAGATAGCCGTAAATCTCCCGTTATCTTCTGTGACAGAGTAAGGGATTTGGTTCTGCAGTTGTTATAGCAGGTGAATATCCACCCATAGTACCATTGAACAGCTTCAGCTTTTCTGATTTAAAACCAAAATTGATCGATCACTTCGTATATCTAACAGTTTAAAGGCGGAACGGAAATTTTTAGAGATACGAATCAACCATTATTATGGGTATTTTTAATGAATGTTATATGGAGAACTACTTTATCTCCACTTTAAAGCAAGCTTTATTTCACCTTATGGATAATCTCTTACTTGGATTTATTAACTAAACTGTATATTATTAACTAGCCGTTACCATTTATTGGTCTGACCAACTGCATCGCTACAACCTATATATAAATTTCGAAGGAATCATTCATCTTCTGATGTTGCCTTCGAAATTATGGTGTAACATGGGGATATTCTTAAACGGGAATGTGAAATATTTTTATGTGTTGTCGCCGTTTACATATATGTATATCATTTATAATATACTTAACTTTTTTAACAAGACTGTGATTTCAGTAGAATTCTGAAACTTCTTACAAATGACTTTTTCTAAAAACGAAACCTTGAATACAAAGAAATCGTTCTTTGCGAGAAAATGGAAACGATATACATTTT